CTCAGTGGTTCCTCCGCCTGCCTCAAAAGTGAAAGGTCCCGAGTTCAATCCCTGGTACTGGGAAAAAAAAAAAAAGCAAAGAAGCAAGCAAGCAAGTAAGCCAGCCCTGGGAAGCCAAGTATGGTGGGGCACACCTGTAATCCCAGAACTTGGGAGGCTGAAGCAGGAGGATAGCTCAAGTTTGAGGCCACCCTGGGCTACATAGCAAAATTCTGCCCCCCTCCCGCCCCAAAGCCCTGGGACTTATGAATAAAGGGCTGAATGAATAAAAGCATCCTTCCGTCCATCAGCATGAGGGCTTTTGAGGGTTCAAGGACACAGCAGGAACCTCACATGGATTCCTTTACACCTTAGGGGCACTAATGTGACCTAAAGCAGTACAAAGTGCTACTCTTGAAAATATAAACTACTGCTGAAGGAGAGATACACAGAAGATCATGCTGTGATTCTTTCCTAAGATGATAATACATGACACCACCATGACCATTATCACTGTACCAATTCAAAGTTATAAAAAGTAGAAAAATGATAAAATATAAAATTCTGTTCTACATTCAACAAACAGCATCACATTTGTTGTACGCAAAAATACTGTGCTTAGATTACACACAAGGTATGCAAATAGAATACGGCACTGTCTGCTGTCAGAGTTGTTATCTTCAGAAAAGCTGAAGATATATGGTAAACAAGCGCAACACAGAACATCATATAATAAATGACCAACAGCATAACGTGAAAGAGAGAGCCTCAGGGGCAAGCATCTGAGCTGAGCTTTCATACGTAAGATTTCAGAGAATCAAATGGGAAGGTAGAGGGATGAAAGATTTTCAAATCATTATTTCTGTAATTGGTATTATTTTGTTTGTTTAAGACAGGGTCTCACTATGCAGTTCAGGATAGCCTTGAACTCACTATGTACCCAACGCTGGCTCCCAGCAATCCTCCTGCCTTGGCCTCCCCACTGTTGAGATTACAGGTATGTACCACCATGCCTGGCTTTAATTGGGATTCTTTGCCACTTACAGAATTAACTTTTGGAGAAAATAATAAAAACCATTTTGTACTCAGAGGCTGTTTTGACCAAACATACATACTATTTAGTATTTGATCTACATTAACAGGAAGCTCATAAATCTGGAGACTCCTTAGTTCCTGACAGTCAGTATTTTGACAAAAAAAAAGGGTCCAAGAATAGAATAATTTGGCATAACTACTGTGGCTATTAGCAAGCTGTGAGCTACTCTGATACAAATTCTAGGCTGTTTCTACAAAGCATGCCAAATTTAATAACATGTCAGCTGGAGGTTTGTTTGCTTTAATGGTAACATGTCAGTGTGTCACCCAGTTAAAACACCCTATAGTGAGGCAGAAAAATAAAAGTATTTCCCCAAACCACCCATCAATGAACTGTACTTTCTTACCATTCTTTACAGTGGTTGATAGAGAATGAAAGCATCTTTTAACTCACACAAGTCATGGAAATGGAACAGTTTTCAGTGCTGCTCTCCTTAGTCATATATAACAGTCCAGGGGTTTATTATTACAAGGTATAAAAGGTCAAGAAAAAGATACAGGGGCCGGGGATTTAGCTCAGTGGTCCCGGTGCCTGCCTGGCAAGCACAAGGTCCTGAGTTCGATCCCCAGTACCAAAAAAAAAAAGAAAAAAAAAAGAAAAAGGTGCAGACTTCAATCATCAAAGGACACACTCTAGGTTCCAAATTTTTTTTTTGCTTTTTTTTGGTACCGGAGATCAAACTCCGGTCCTTGTGCTTGCGCAGCAGGTGGCGAAACCACTGAGCTAAATCCCCGGCCCCTAGGTTCCAAAATTTTGATATGAAAGACCGCATATTCTAGGTTCAACAAAATGTTTAATTTGCTGAAAAAAAAAGTATAAAGGACCTTTAATGGTCAAATGTTTATTTTGTCAGAGCTGAATGTTTATTTTATTTATTTTTTTGTTTTGTTTTGAGGCAGGGTCACTACGTAGCCCAGGCTGGCCTGAAACATGTGAAAAGCCTGGATTACAGGGATGTTCCACCATGCGCAGCTTGAATTTTATTTGTTTTTTTGGTGGCGGTACTGAGGATTGAATCCAGGGCCTCACACGTGCTAGCTAAGCACTCCACCACTGAGCTACATGCCTAGTGCTTGAATTTTTTTTTTTTGGTACCAGGGATTGAACTCGGGTCCTTGTGCTTGTGCAGCAGGCAGTGATACCACTGAGCTAAATCCCCAGCCCCCTTGAATTTTATTTTTAACAGAAGTGTATAAATGATTTTTAGGTGAATATAAATTAAAACTATCTGTTTTGCTAGGAGCAGTGGTGCATACCTGAAAACTTAGCTACGCAGGAAATGAGACACAAGGGTCATGAGTTCAAGGCCAGACTTGGCAAATAGCAAGATTCTGTCTCAGAATAAAACAACAAAAATGTAACTGTTCCTCAGTTGTGCTGGAAAACCATTTTCTAACTCTAGAAAAACTTTAGAGATATGGTGGCTACTGGCCAAAGTACAGTGCATTTAGCAAACATGAATGCAACCTGTTCTTCTAGAAACAGCTTAACTGCTCTTTCCCTCAGTTGGCAGGTCAAATTTACATTTTGCTTGTGAGTCTCTAAATTTTGTTTTGCAGTACTTGGGATTAAACTCAGGGACTTCTCACTGAACTATATTCCCAGCCCCCCCATTTTTTGTGGTACCGGAGATTGAACTCAGGACCTTATACTTGCCAGGCAGGCATGGTGCCACTGAGCTATATCCCTGCCCCAGCCCCTTTTTTATTTTGAGGCAGTTTTCCAAGTAGGCCTCAAAGTTACAATCCTCCTGTCTCATCCTCCCAGTCTGCTGGATTACAGGCGAGCATACCACCATGCCCAGCTTCTCACTAAATTCTGAAGATCTCTATTATTAACAAAATTTTAACTGTTTGAACACCTTTTCTACTTTTATTGTATAAACTGTAATCAATTATATCAAACTTTATTATTGTTACTGAAGGTGTTACAATCAAACCAATACAGTTCATAACTTTCCATAGAAGCTAAAAGTTTTAAATATTAGGTTCTCAGGCAATACGCTATTTTATGCTACTTTAAAAAAAATTTAAATTTTTAAAAAGTCCAAACCTCATTCCAGAATTACATAAGTTAGATAACTCCTCAAAATCCAGAGGAAGCAAGTGAACTAAAGGAAAACAAAAGTCTCCCTAGGTTAAAAATGACTAAAAAAATCACCATTTCATGGCTTCAGTTTTAAGGAGGACATCTTTCTGGTTCACTTGTCCACTGCAGATCTGTTTCAATGAAAGGAATATTTTTATTAATTTAATGCACATTACTCACATAATCAATTCTGTATCAGGACATGTTTCTCATAATTAAAAGAATATAAAGGCAGCTTCTACTTTCGACTTTTTTCCTTTAATACACTACAGTACATCTTCATACTCTACACAGGCATTTTTGCTGTTGCACAGGCAGGATGCAAACAGAGAAAGGAAAAATTAAAACACGTGCTAAACTTGGCAAAATTTGTCCATTTACAATGCATAAAACCGGGGATTTGGGGCTCAGCAAAGTAATTTTCAGATACATTTTCAACACAAACATCCAAAAATGTGTCCAAAAATGTATGCACAGAGGTTTATCATCTCTGCATTGACAAAAACTTACAAATCTTAATCTTAAAACTGTAATCTTAAACTTATAAATCTTAATGTCCATTAATGGGAGAATAAATGGGAGAGAAATTATACTATATCCAAACTACAGAATTTAACTATCCAGTATTTTTTTTTATTTCCAATATTTTAAAAAGTGACTTTCTGGGTGGGGGATTTAGCTCAGTGGTTTCAGCGCCTGCCTCAAAAGCGCCAAGTCCCGAGTTTGATTCCCGGTACCAAAAAAAAAAAAGTGACTTTCAGAATATGCTCACATGAAAAGACCTTCAACACAATTAGTCTGCAAAAAATACAAAATAATGATTAACATTATCCTATTGTATATCCACATACACATAAATGTATAAATGCACTACATATATGTAAATGCATAAAAATTATCTAGATGCTGGGAATGGTGGTGCATACATGTAAACCTGCTATCTGAGTGGCTGGGGTATAAGGATCCCGAGTTTGAGGCCAGCTTGGGCAATATAACAAGACCTTGTTTCAAAAATAAACAAACAAAGAGCTAGGGTAGTTCAGTAATGGAGAACCTGCCTAGTGTGCAGGAGGCCCTGGGTTCACTTCCCAGTACCACAAAAATGGAATAAAAGAAAGAAAAAGCGGGGGCAGGGATTTAGCTCAGTGATTCCACCACCTGCCTCACAAGTGCAAGGATCCGAGTTTGATCCCCAGTACAAAAAAAAAAGAAAAAGTGATGAGAAAGATATACATTGAATTTAATATCATCATCTCTGAGGAAGAGAAAAACAGTCTTTGCCTTTTAAAAATTAATTTGTAAGAGCCAAATATATCACACATCCAAAGCTGTATAGAGGTGTTGCTTCTGTGGAAAACAGTGCAGAAGATCCTCAAAAATTATAGAGGCTGGAATTTAGCTCAGTGGCACCTGCCTGCCTTGCAAGTGAAAGGTCCTCAGTTCGATCCCTGATACTGAGGGAAAAAAAAAAAAAATTAAATGCCTAGCATGGTGGTACACACTTGTAATCCTAGCATGCAGGAGGATCAGAAGTTTGAGGCTTTTGTTCCAAGAAGAAGGAAAAACTCTTAGGATGGATGGTGTTGATGGTTGTACAATGTGAGCATACTACTGCCACTAAACTACATATTTAAAACTGAAGCTGGTGTGGTGGTGGTGCACGTGTAGTCTCAGTACTCAGGTGGCTGAGGCAGGAGGATTGTCACAAGTTTGAGACCAGCCTGTGCTACATAGTGAGACCCTGTCTTAAATAAATAAACAAACAAAACTGAAGCTAGAGCCAGGCATAGTGGCATACACCTGTAATCTCAGCACTCTGAGGCAGGAGAACTGCAAGTTCAAGTTGAACCTGGACAACATAGGGACTCAGTGAAACCCCTGTCTCAAAATAAATAAAAAATATCTGGAGGGCCAGGGATTTAGCTCAGTGGTACCACCGCCTGCCTTGTAAACCCAAGGTCCTGAGTTTGATCTCTGGTACAAAAAAAAAAAAGCTGGGGATATAGATAAGTGAGAAAACCCTGGATTCAATAACCAGTACAGAGGGAAAAAGAAAAGGAGCCAGGTATGGTGGTGCATGCCTGTAATTCCAGCACTCTGACCGACTGAAGCAAGAGAATCAAAAGTTTGAGCCTAGATTTACCAAGTTAATAATTTAGGAAGGCTCTGTCTCAATTTGGGGGGCGGGGGGTACCAGGGATCGAACTCAGGACCTTGTGCTTGCGAGGCAGGTGCAGGCACCACTGAGTCAAATCCCCAGCCCACTGTCTCAATCTTTTAAAAAATGCTCTGGATTCAATTCTTAGGCCAGCCAATAAAAAAAGATTAAAATGGAAAATTTTATGTTATGCATATTTTATACATTTTATTAAGATGTACAGAATATACAGTTTTTAATAAACAATAAAATAGCCTGCCAGGCATTGTGGTGTACCCCTGTAATCCCAGCACAGCTGTTTAATCCTGATGCAGGAGGATCTCCAGTTCGTGGCCAACCTGAGTTACCCAGAGAGTTCAAGGGCAGCCTGAACTATACTCCAAGTCTTTATCTCAAAAAACCAAAAAACAGCCAGGCATGGTAGTGTATACCTATAGTCCCAGTACTTGGGAGGCTGAGACAGGAGGGTTGCTATGAGTTCAAGGCCAGCCTGAATATAGCAAGACCCTGTCTCCAAAACAGATACATATATGCATACATACATACATACATACAAAACAAAACCCTTGTGCACCCATATCCAAGTTAGAAAATTGAATAAGCTGAACACAGTGATGCACACCTGCTGAGATAGGATGATCATGAATTTGAGGCCAGTCTGGCCTACACACAGGGACTGTCTCAAAAAACAAAGTAGAGGGCCGGGGATATACCTCAGTGGCACTGTGCCTGCCTCTCAAGGTCCTGAGTTTGATCCCCAGTATGGGGCAGGGGAGAAAAAAAACAAAGTAATAAGAAGGAAGGAAGGGGACAGGGAGGGAGGGCAGGAGAACAGGACATCATTAGGATCTTTAGGACTCGGGATCCCCTTAATAACCTCATTACTATCGCTTCTCGGCCTTTTGGCTAAGATCAAGTGCATAACCTCATTACTCTCCCTCTCTGACCCAACCAGAAGTAATACTCACTACACTGTTATTACTCTTGCTTCTCTTTATAGTTTCACCTCAAAAGCACATCACCAAAGAATATACTATTCCTAAACAATATGTTGTGTGGTTGTTGGCTGTAGCTAGAACTTGTTTTCACTGTGGTAGAGTCTTTGTATGGACATGCTGTAATTTTTCCATTCTACCATTGACAGAAATCAACTGGCTCCAATGCTTAACTCTTACAAAATAATTATCATTATCTACATTCTCTAGAGCAGTAGTTTTCAAACCTTGACTACAGGGCCGGGGATTTAGCTCAGTGGTTTCGCTGCCTGCTGCGCAAGTGCAAGGACCCGAGTTCGATCCCTGGTACAAAAAAAAAAAAAACCTTCTTGACTATAACACAGTAAAACACTTTATGCCAAAACTAGTTCCCTTATACATACACACATAAAAATCTAACTGGGAATAAGTTTCTAAAAATAATTCCCTTACAATAAAGTACATGATTATTTTCTACTGTTGTATTTAACACTGCCATGAAACTGTCTTCTTGCTTAGCAACGGGTTGCAAGGGATAGGCTGAAAACAACGTGCTGGAGTGCACACCTGGGAGGGCAGCTCAGGGCTGCAGGCATGCACATTCTCACCAGGTAAGGTCTAACTGCCTTCCACAGTCACTTCTCCAATGTGTACTTTTACCTGCAGCATTTCAGCAAATGATTTCATTTGATTTGAATCAAAATGATTTAAAATTGTAAATAGATATTAAAGTTTATCAAATGTTTTGCTACCACTATTAAAATACCGTATAATGGGCCGGGGATTTAGCCCAGTGGTTCCGCTGCCTGCCTCGCAAGCGCAAGGACCCAAGTTCAATCCTCGGTACCCCCCCCAAAAAAAACAAAACCCATATGGTTTTTAGCCTGGTGGGAGGTAAATTACTAACTGATTTTCTAATAATAAAACAAGCTTACATTCCTCAGATAAACTGAAGTAGGCCATGATGACATGGAGCTATAATCCCAGCAACTAAGAAGGCTGAGGCAGGAGGATCACGTCACAAGTTTGAGGCCAGCCTGAGCTACATGGTGAGTTCAAGGCCAGCCTGAACTAGTAAGTTAGACCCTGTCTCAAAAAACAAAAGTGGGGAGGACAGGCTGGCCTTGAACTAACTGTAATCCAGGCAATCCTCCTGCCTCAGCCTTCTGAGGGCTACGATCACAGGCATGTGCCAACAGATCAGGCTTGTTTTTTTTTTTTGGTACCGGGGATCGAACTCGGGTCCTTGCACAGCAGGCAGCGAAACCACTGAACTAAATCCCCGGCCCTCAGGCTTGGTTTTTGCAATAGGATTTTTCTGTGTAATCCAGGCCACCCTTGAATTTGCGGTATAGCTCAGGGTTGCCTCACACTTTTGATCCTCCTGCCTCAGCCTCCTAGGTGCTGGGATTACATACAGGTGTGCACCACTGTCCCTGGCTAATATCAGCCTCTTTAAATGACCAAAGATAGTAAAGTCGGGTCGGGGATTTAGCTCAGTGGTTCCACCAACTGCCTTGCAACCGCAAGGACCCGAGTTCGATCCCTGGTATCAAAAATAAAAAAATTTTTTAAAAAGATAGTAAAGTCGTTTACCTATAAGGTTAACGTTGATGACTCAGTTCTAGTTGCAAAGTGTATTCTTCAACTGTTGAGTGTTGAAGCCTTCCTACTGGCCCACAAGACACTGTGACACATATATTTAGTCTTCCTTCTATCCCTGGCACACAACTCATCAAGCTCTTCCAATCACAAAGTTATATGGTTGGGTTTATCATTTTGGTGGTACTGAGGATTGAACCCAGGGGCCTCTATCACTGAGTTACACCCCCAGTTGTTCTGGGTTTTTTTTTTCCCATTGTAAGACATGGTCTCCCTAAACTGCCAGGTGGGATTTGAACTTGCAATTCTTCTGCCTCAGCTCCAAAGTGCTGGGATTGCAGATGTGTTGTATTTTTTGTATGGTAATAAGTTGTCTGAAGGAAGCAGGCCCAAGAGC